GGTCACGTGCCACCAGCACATAGTGAGGCCGGGCCGGCAAGTCCGGGTCAAGCCTCGTTTCTAGTCCAGCGTTCCCACAGTGCTGTTCGCAGCCCTGCCCTTCACCATAGTCCCCTTTGCTGCATTGACCCTGATGGCCACTCCTCAAGTTACTTCTAAACCCTTGTTGCTAAAGAAAGTGGTTTTAGAAAATGACACAGGGTTTTTGAAATGAGGGCCCTCCCTGGTGGTACAACGGGTTGAAGTGCAGCAATGTGAAGCAGGCCGAAGCCGCTTTGGCACGAGTTCGATCCCCAGCCAGGGAGTGACCCGCGTCGCACAGCAGGCCTCTCTTGTCTCGCCTCCTGCTCCCCTCAGCAGTGTATTGCAGTAGATCTGCCTATTCGACTCCCCACTCTGTCTCTGGTGAATCCTCTCACTGCCCCTGCACTTCTGGCCTGTACCCCAGTTCTGTATGAATAAATAAGTCTTTATTTTTTATTTTTTTTTATTTATTTTTTTTTATTTTTTTTTTTTTTTTATTTTTTTTTTTTTTTTTATTTATTTATTTATTTATTTATTTTTAAGATTTATTTATTTGTGCATACAGAACTGGGGTACAGACCAGAGGCTCAGGGGCAGTGAGAGGCTTCACCAGAGACAGAGTGGGGAGCAGAACAGGCAGATCGACGAAGTACACTGCTGAGGGGAGCAGCGGGCGGGTCAGGAGAGGTCTGCGGCACCATGTGGACTCCTCCAGGGCAGGCGGGGATCGAACTCATGCGGAAGCGGCTTTAGATTCTCAGTGGTGTGCTTTAACCCGCTGCGCCACCCGGGAGGGCCAAATAAGTCTTTTTTTAAAATAAGAAAATGACCTGGGCTTGTTGAAATGATAGAAGGTGGGGACAACGAGTATCACCCACACTTTTGTAAGGGGTTTGGTAATGTTCTCATGTCTCAGTTTAGACCAACTTAAAACATGAGAGTACACTCAAACATGGGCTTCATCCTGGACCGGAAGGTGCCTCAGCTTTCTGGACTGATCCACAGCAGGCACTTGTTTTCATTTAGCTGAGACGCAGTTTAATCCGTCACCTGAGATGTCCTGCCCGCAAGCTCCTCACCGTGACTTGCTACTGTTGATGTCTGAATACAGCACGTCGTCAGCAACAGGAACACAGGCCCAGGACACCTGTGCGGCAGCTGAGAGCAGAGATGACTGTACCTTAAACTCGCTCTCTCTGGGATGAATGATAGTTGCTCCATGTAAGAATTCCAATTCTGAAAGCTTGCGCAATCCAAATCCTGTCCTCATCAGACTGTTGAGGTCCCGGAGTTGATAAATACTAGACTGTTGATTGGGATTGACCAACCTGTTTATTTACAGGTTGTGCAACTGTGTGCAGTGTCTTATTGAAACCAGTACTTGCAAACTGGTCAAACAAATGCTGTCCCCAGTGGGTGAAGCCAGGCTCAGTTGGCGTAAGTAAGGCTCCTTGTCTCCCTGTTCCAAAGTCTCCACTAAAATGTGCTCAGGGCTCATAACTGATGCTTCAATTGTGGTGGATGTGGAACAAGAAATAACATGCCAAAGCAAAGTGAAGGCCGAGCCCGGGTTCCCAGTGACCACAGCTGCTTCTGTCGCTACTTAAATCGTCACTGGCCTCCCTGTCTCAGCCACACTGCTGCAGGCGTCCTGTCTTGTGGCCCAGGACCCGTCCAGCAACCGTACGTCGAGGAGGGAGGCAATTGGTTTTGGTTTTATGCTTTTCTTTTTTTGTTTGTTTGTTTTTGTCTTTCTACTTTTTAGTTAACTGTCAGTGGCCCCAAAAGAGTCTTGTCTTCTGGTTTTGTTTCATTTTTTAAATCTGATTTCCTTATTTTCATGATTTGGGTAAGACCTGAGACTTGTTTTTTCATCTACCTGCTGTGCAAGAACTCAGTTCCAAGTACAAACATTTCAAAGTTCCTGAGAGGCCTTGAGAAACCAGTACTTCTGTTCCCACTCTGCGTCTTCCGTAGGCCAATCTCTGCTGTTGAGACTGGACCTAGTTTATATGGGCGCCTGATAACACTTCTGGCGGGAGTAATCTCTCCTATGTCCGGAATTAATTCGCTTGAGTTTTATAGCATCTTTTAAGTGATCAAACACCTAATGTTGAGTGGCCCTTTATAAATTTCACTTTCTCTTGTGAGATTACTTCTGATGTGTCTCAATCTGTCAACACATAAATCACTCACCGATTAGGGACCTAGCATCAGGCAGGCAGAGCCTAGCTAGGGAAGGCTGGGTGGGCCCTGTCCTGCCCTCCAGGACTCAGTACGGGAGACCAAATGCAAGCTAAGGGAAGTAGGATGGCGAGCGGTGAGGAAGAAGTCATTTTAAATTGTCTGTCAAAGATGGTGCTGGGGGTGGGGTAGAGAAAGAGAGACCTGAACTGTCATGGTTTTGGTGCTCAGCCAGGGGCCCAGAAACAGGACCGCCGCGTGTGGTTAAGCACTCAGGGCCCGCTTGCACAAACCTGCCTGACCAGGAAGGGGCACCCGGCAAGGAGGGGCCGAAATGCAGCCGAACTTTGCTCCCCTTGTACCCTGGTGCCGGACTGTTCATGCTCGGAGCCAACCAAGGGCAGCGTAACTCTGCCAGGCCGTGTCTGTCTGTCCGTCCGTCGGGCTCCCTGTAGACAGAGAGGCGCCTATTTGTGTGCACTGCTTAAAGAGAAGCAAGTAAGTCCGAAGCTGCGCTGAAGGACAGGCAGGGCACAGCCTCTGCATCTCTACCTGACCCTCCGTTAATGCAGCGAATGTGTGAATGAGCGCAAAGCACTAGTGAAGTTTCAAAAATGAGCTTCTTGTGGCCCTCCCTGGTGGCGCAGCGGGTTGAAGCACAACACTGAGAAGCTGAGGCCACTTCAGCATGAGGCCACTTCAGCATGAGTTCGATTCCCCCCTGCCCCGGAGGTGACCACATGGCATGGCAGACCTCTTCTGACCTGCCCGCTGCTCCCCTCAGCAGTGTACTTCGTCGATCTGCCTGTTCTGCTCCCCGCTCTGTCTCTGGTGAAGCCTCTCACCGCCCCTGAGCCTCTGGCCTGTACGCCAGTTCTGTATGAACAAATAAATAAATCTTTAAAAAATGAGCTTCTTGCTTAAAGTAGGGCTCTTGGGTGGACTTTTGCTAGAAGCTTCTGAGAACTGGGATTGTGTGTTTCATGGAGGGCAGAGGGGAAGAGGGGAGAGGGCAGAGATGTACTTTAAGGCCCCTGAAAGTTCTAAAAGGCTTTGAATATATGAATTGAATTTGATGTTGAGTTTTAAAACCTAGCTTTTAAGCCAAAGTGGTGTCTCTTAGTGATATTTCAAAACATCCATCTATCTTTGGAGTGAGCCTTTTTTTTTTTTTTTAAGATTTATTTATTCATATAGAGCTGGGGTACAGGCCAGAGATGCAGAGGGTGAGAGGATTCACCAGAGACAGAGTGGGGAGCAGAACAGGCAGATCGACGGAGCACACTGCTGAGGGGAGCAGCGGGCGGGTCAGGAGAGGTCTGCCTCGCCATGTGGTCACCTCCGGGGCAGGCGGGAATCGAACTCATGCGGAAGTGGCTTTAGCTTCTCAGTGCTGTGCTTTAACCTGCTGGCTCACCTGGACTGAGCCTTTTTAAGCTACCTCAGGGCTTTAAGTACTTTTAGAAGAGCTGAAGAAGTAGAACATTAGGACCCTGTCCTCAGATTATTACCTGTTTAAGAAAAAGAAAGGCTCACAACAGAATGAGAGCAGCAACCATTCATAGGGGTAATTAATTGATGACTTGTCGCTGCTTGGTCTTGATTTTGACTCTCCAGTAGGACTTGGTGTCTGGCCTGGAATCTTCACCTGCTGCAAAAAGTATTTAGCAAGCAGCCGCCATGCTTAGGCTCACCAGAAACACTTCCTGTCTGCGAGGTCATTGCAGGTGAAAATTACCAAGTGGGTTTAGTAAGGTAGGATTAAAAGTAACGAAACTGTCACAGTAGTGCTCTCTTCATCGGTCTTCCTGTGCTCAGTGACTGTGGACCTCTCTGCAATAGGTTTTTAGTCCTTTGCTGTGTGGGGTGACCCCAAAAAAATGCTCAGCCACGTCTGTCAGACCATGTGTCCTGTGCCATCACCCCCTTCCCCCCTTTCCCACATACCTGTTCGTGAGCTCCATCCATGTGTAGTTCAGTGTGCCAACCCCTCCTGACTGACTCCCCCTCCTCTCTCTTGCCAAGGTCTGACCTAGTTTTCCCAGAGCCTCGTGATCATAACCCTAGACCAGCACCACCCTACGCTCTTTGTTAATATCACATGAAGATTCTGGCCCTAACAAAGGCCTCACAGATGGACAGGCCTGATGTGAACCCCAACTTAGATATTATTAGTTCAGGGAACTTAAGCAAGATACTCAACATCAGAGAGACTCAGGTGCTTCATCTATAAAAGAGGGATAATCACTCCCGCCCAGTCTGGGTGGACATAGATTAGAGACTATAAAGTGGTTAAAATAACAACACCCAGCATGGAGCCTATGTACCTACAACAAAAGTTGATCAGTGACATAGGAGACTGGCAAACAAAGGGCCTGGGGTTTCCCAGCAGGAAGGCTAACACCTGCAGGAGGCCTCACGTGACCAGGTTTGTGTGAGCGTGTGGGGAGCGAGTGTGTGCAGAGGCCCTCCCACAGCCTGCAGGTGATCAGCCGCCCAGCACAGCCGGGCCCACGCAGGACGGACGCAGACCTGGGATCCAGCCAGTCCCCAGAGCCTGACGTTCACCTGAACATAAAACTGGACGTTTACCTGATGAAGCAAGCATGACCTGCAGCTGCCTTCCTTGAGGCACCAGCAAAAGGAGTTAGAGTAGAGATCTGAAACTGTCACAGCTGTCAAAAGTTCACGCCAGAAGATCAGTCCACTCTCCAGAGAGCAAGGTCACTGCTGCGTTTATCCACCTGCCCCTTCTGGATGTCTAAGGTGAAGCGTCTTTGTTTCTTCTCCAGCTCAGAAGCTGAGAATGGCGTGGAGGAGAAAAAGAAGGTCTGCAAGTCGCCACCACCGCAGTCCCCCACCCTGTCCAGCGAGGCCGAGTCCCCAGACCCAAAGAGGATCATCTGCCTACGGTGAGTTCTCGCCTCGTGTCTTCCTTCCTTATGGCTGTTTGGGGGGGGAGGGGGGGAGAGTGTCGCTGGGAGGAGCTGGTGTTTCTAGCTTCATGGTGACTAAGTGAGGAACAATATAGGCAAGTGTCACCCCTGAGAAAAAGTGGGTCCTGTTCCTTGACATTCAGGCCCTGGTGGTCACCTTCATCTCCCATCTCTTCCTAGCACCATCTTTTGCTCCCTCCTGTCCCAGCCTTCTGCAAAGTGTCTGTACATAAAGCACTGGATTTGCTGCCCACTACGGCCCACTTTCCCACAGAGATTTTGAAGCACCTGGGTAGGCTGCCCATGGGTTGCCCACGGGGTCCTCCAAGCCTGGAGAGTCGGCTCAACCCCGGTGGGGCACACTGCTCTCTCTTTCCTGGTAGCCCCTTAAATAAGTAAGGGGGAACCCGTCTGGGATTCCCAGGACAGACAGCATGTGCATGTCTTAGGGGTTCACCTGTTTCCTGGGGCTGGCTCCCAGCTGTGATGCATTTGGTTGTGGAGTCTGTGAGGAGGGTGGAGCTGTGGTCCTCACTACAAGCAGAAGTACCAGTTACAGGCTGCCTCCCTCATAGAAGGGAAAAGGAGGTTTGCTTTTCAACTCCTTAAAGAGAATGATTAAAGCAATGATCCATTTCAGGTAAATGTGGCGGTCAGTGTGTACTGCATGGTCGAGCTCTCCTCCCTGTGAAAACTGCTGCCTTTTCTGATCGTGGCTCCTGCAAAATGATGACTAACAGCTTCCTTCCTGGCTGCCTGCTCCCATCTCCCCTCTAAATGCAGCTTTCATTCAGGACCAAGCATAAGTCCTCACTCCTCGCCTAGAATTTTCTTTTCTGACTGGCATGCTCAAGTATCTCTCCATCTTTCCACGGGCCTGTTTTGATGCATTTCACTTTTACACTTTTTTTTTTTTCTGTAGCTGTTTCCTGTTAGAGCATCCTGTTTCTTTTGTTATGGGAGTCCCTCCTCAAAGGCAATAAGCGTGTTGTTTCTCGCGTCTTGGTCTACTATTGGCTCACCGCAGCCGGCACTTGTTGGTTTCACTCCAGCTTCCCCAGGCATCTGCAGGGCACAGCCTTACACCAGATGGGCATGTAGTCTATATCATATAAAGACCCCTGTGCTGACTTTAATGCCCTGCCTTCCCTGTCCGGGAATTGTTAATTTTTGAATGAAGAGCCCTGTATTTTCATCTGGGCTTCTTTCCCACCCACAGTTCACCTGTAGGAAGTGGGAATAATGTGGTGGAGGAGATCAAAAGAAATCAGTACCATGTAAATGAGCACCCCTGCTCTCCCCAGAGACCAGGCTGTGCAGACAGGGCTCTTGACTGCTTACGCCTCTTGGAATGACCTAGGTCACAGTGGTCCTGCTCGTCACTGGCTCCCAGTCCATGGGTCTTCAGAGATTCAACTATTTCCTTGGCACATCCGTTCATATTTAGTGATTTGAAGCAGTAGAGGTGATAGATTCAAATTAGCGGACCGTATAAATAATAGGTAACTTCCTATTTTTTAAAATGATGTTTGAAGGGTTTACTCATAATTTGGAAGGGGCAGGAGAGAACCCTAGAATTCTAAAGGAATTTATATCTGTGTAAATAGGTTCAATGTACTTTGAATTACTGAGAGATTTTCCTATGTGGTTTGGGCATCATGGTCTCAAACCCACAGAACTGAAAAAGACTTGGACACTGCTGTCTGTGTCTCCACAGCTGAGAAACCAAAGCCTGAAGTCTCTGACTCCACCACTTCCATCCTCAGTGATGCTGTAAGCCACCCACATTATTTAAGACTCCTCAGTCCACTTTGAACCATATCTTAGGGTTTTTTTTTTTTTAATTTAAGATTTATTTATTTATGCACATAGAACTGGGGTACAGGCCGGAGGTTCAGGGGTGGTGAAAGGATTCACCAGAGACAGAGTGGGGAGCAGAACAAGCAGAGGGCACTGAGAGGAGCAGAGGGCGGGTCGGGAGAGGTCTGCCGCACCATGGTGGTCACCTCCGGGTCAGGACAGAACTTGTGCTGAAGCGGCTGCTGCTAGTTCCGTAGTGCTGTGCTTTAACCAACTGTGCCACCAGGGAGGGCCCCTTATCTTGTTTTTAACTCCGCTTCAACCTAAGAAATCATATTGTAGAATATGAGCTTTGTGTTCCATTTCCCCCAATAAATCACATAATTGTATCATAAAACTCACTCATCTGTACCTCTAAAAATCACACTCGCCTTCCACTTTGAAGTGACCATATTGGCTTGTAGGGTGGATGATAAGTGCAAATTCGTATGTCTACTCCCATAGAGAGCTGGGACTAGAATCACCCTAGAAAGTATCCTGGAATCTGAACTCACCCTCTAAGAGAACAAAGGAAAACATGACTTCCAGATAGGTTCTCTTTTTAACCTGCTATCATTTATATACACTTTTCCCAATCCAGAATGCTTTGCCTCTGTCTCCTGCATACCCAATTCCTACTCGTCAGCGTAGGCCCAGTGTAGCAAGTCACTGTTACTATCCTCTTGGTCTGCTCTTCTCTTACCTCCTGTTAGGCTGAGTTTCTCTTTGCCTGCCACCTCCTGTCCCAGTAATCTTTATTGTTTAGCTGCTAAATCATTTACTGCCTTTTAAAAAAAGGTGTTTCGTGTGTGCACAAACTCCTTAAGTATAAAGAGTCTTCTGTACCTGAAGGCATCTAACACAAAGACTCCCTCTATTAACACCTGTTAAATATTAATGCAATTCTGAAACAAAATATTTTCTGATTGAATGATAGCTGCAATTTTGTTGAACACTTGCCTCTAGTATCTTTATACTGATTAAAATACTTTTGAGATGCTACCATTACTTTTACAACTCAGTGGTTACTTCTCCCTACTATAAATTACAATTTCTGCAGTTTAAGACAGCCCGCCGAAATCATCACACTCCTCTACAGCCCGTGCTAAGTTAATGCCCTTAGCGTATTATGAGTGATGACTGAAGTCTAGAAGAGCAGAACGCCATCAGGTTTCCTGTGAGGTGGCATAATAATCAAGATTTATTACTATAAAGTGAGCACGTAGCATAAAAAATTCACCTTACAGATTGCCTGGATTTTCTCTCCTCAGGTCAAAATCCAGTTGTGATGGTGCCTGTTCTGCAAATGATAAAAGCGACTGTAAAACAGAAAGCAAAAATGATTCTAAGACTGAAAGGAAAAAATCTTCATCTTCCAGCCAGGTAATTTGGGGCTGGGGTATGAGCTAGCCTGGAGGGTGACCAAAGTCCGTGGAAAGCGAGACCCCAAGTGTGCAGCTGCCTCCTGGTCTGTACTGACTCTGGGTAGGTTACAGAGGGGAGAAGGACACGCTCCAGCTCTTTCGGACGACTCTGTCATTATTGCAGCTCACAGCCTACATGCTGCGGCATCCTGAGTGGTAGAGAGCTCCGCCTGCGACCTCTAGCTCTGAGAAGGGCCAAGCGGAGGGACCCTCAAAGTTGTGTGTTTGTCTGAGAATCAGCTGGTGAGACATTCTGGAGGAAGGGAAAGAGCCTGTGTGGACAGGGTCGTGCGTCCCCTCCACAGGTCAGCTCGGTAACAATAACCAGTCCTGTGTCAGAGCGTGACATGTATTATTGGGACCAACAGTTTGAGAATTTTTTTTGGATACTTTTCCTCTTAGTACTTGAATGCGTGATTCCTCATAAGTAGAACAAAAACCTTTTGGCACACACAAGCCATTTAACTAAATTATAAATATGCAAATGTACTCTGTAATGTAAAATCCATTGTCTGCTTTCTGTAATTACTCCAGGAATCAGTCTTTTATAAAGGTTTTTTTTTCTCCCCTCTCTAGAATCATGCAAAAGCCATGAATTGTATCTGTCATGTGGCTTTTAACTGAGCTCAGACACTATCTTTTTTTGTTTCTTTTTATTACCTTCGTATTCTTGATTCCATGGCCCAGAATATTTTTAATCAAGTGTGCCCTGTTAGCCATTAAACCCAAAAGCTCAGTAAGCCCCATAGAACAGTTAGCTTTGATCAAGGTAGCTTTCTGGATGCAAAGTGTACTTCGAGAAAGCAGTGTGAGGTGATGTACTTTATAGGAGGTGCTTATCTATAAAATCACTGACCTGGGGGGGAGGGGTACACCTACCCTCCATCTACATCACCTGTGTGAAGCTCTCCTTTACAGCAAAAGTAGGTCCAGCTTCACAGAGTCCACTCCTAATCGGGATTTTAAAACATAAGTGCCTACCTGCGCTGTCTTTCTGTTGTGCTAAGATTCTTGTATCAAATGCTCCCTGGCAGGCTGAATGGTCATGGAGAAGGAAGATCATGCTCTACCTCTCAGTAGCTGTGTGGTGCCAGCTAGGCCACTAATATTCCTGTCCTAACCCTTGGAGTGGGGATATCAGCACCCTGGTTATTGAGAGGGTGGTTTTGTGAAAATAGTTTACAAACGTAAACAGTTGTTGTCTATTCTGTTTCCACAACTGTGGACAGACACCTTGAAAACGGAATGATCTGCAGCATAAGAGACTCTCCGGCCTTCCGCTACCTGAGAGTGAAGTCCTTTATAGGAATGCCCTGTCCTGACAGTCATCTCCCTGACAGTGGCTAAGGAGATGTTTCTGGTATTAATGATAGACATCGGTACACACTTACATATGCCTGTACCGTGGATGATGTATGGATACACACAAGCGCATAAACTACCATTTATTGCTGTGATAGTTATAATAGCAATGAAATGAAAAATATGCTTAATTAGGAAATCACTGTATAAAATAATTACAAATTACTATTTGAAGATAACAGAATAGAATGCATTTGTTAAAATATCTCTGTCAGAATTGTTGTATTGAGGAGGGAAATTCCCTTTGACATGTTAGACTTTAAAAAGTAGAGTACCATCACCTCCCTTATCTTTAAAACTCATTACCTAACAGGCCGGACACATCAGTAATGACGGTGATAGTTGTAAGAGCAGGCAGTAGGCCTTTTACATGAGGTAGAACACCGAGTCTCACAGCATCCCTCCGAAACAGCTACTGGTGGTGTGTACTGTGGCTCACAAGGGAAAATTGAGTATCCAAAAGTTTAGGTATCTGAGCCAAAAGCACATACCAAGAAGAGGTTCCGCCAAGACTTACATGCAGCCTTCTCTGACCACAAGGCTTTTAACCACTGCCCTGTTCCGAGAGTCATTTGTATGTTGAGCGCCCTGGGGCCCACCACTTTCCCTGGTGAAATTCCTTCGAGTTGCATGTCACTGGCTCTCAGGGACATCCTCGTCCTGTCACCCCAGCAGAAAGCTGACCGCTAGCTGTGTGGGAGCCCCTCGTCACAAATCTGTTTGGAAAGCAAGACCTGGGTGTCCTGCTTTGCATTCTTTTACACTGAAGGGTGGTGTTAAGGACTGTAGGAGCAGAGAAGGGACCCCTGAAGATGCTCTAGGCAGGATGCGGGAGGGAGAACCTGCCAGGCAATCTGAGTCGGAGCTGAGATTCTTCTGAGAAGCGGGAGCATTGATGCCTGTTTCTGTTCCCGTTGCAGTACAAGGCAAACATGCAGTTTCACAAGCTGTTTGTTGAGGTCCCAAGTGATGAACCACTGAGGCAAAGTAAGTTCTGATGCATTGGACTTTTGAAATTATGTTTTTGGAAAGATGTTGATGGATTTGGGGAGGGGGAAAGTGGGTACAGCCTGGGGACTGAATCACCTAAAAGGATAGATTTCTAAAGTCCGGTTGTAACCACCAGCCCCAGCCCTGCCAGTGTCATTTAGCTTCCCAGGCCCCTGAAAAAACGAGAGGAGAATGAGAAATTGCATCTGTCCATGTGAGAGGGTATCATTCAGCTCATTCCAGAATGATATCCTCGCCTTCCACATTCGCTGTAGAAATCACTTTTCTTACAGGGTCCCAACACTCCAGGACACGAACAGGCTTGTGCAGGCGTGATGATGGCTCCAGAGCGGCGCGTCTGAACATGCCGGTGAAGCTCCTGCCCAACTGTGGTTGCCAAGGAACCAGCACCCCATCCTAACTCCCTCCATACAAAAATGTGAAGACAGGATAACTAGGTTCTGCCATGACCGCTAGGCAGCGTGGCGGGTGCACTCTTCCCACTGAGACGCCATCGATTTCAAAAGGAGTCATCGGTGACAATCTAGGAAAGGGGCCGGGGGCCTGACGTCCCCAGGATGACATGTCCCCCCTAGCTGGCATGTTCAGACGCGCCGCTCTGGAGCCATCATCACGCCTGCACAGGGCAGGGACCCATGGGCCTGTCCACTTCGGTCTCAGTTCCTGTTTTAGTCTCTTTCTAGTTGCCTTTCTTGCTCCAAGCCTGTTCGTGTCCTGGAGTGTCGGGACCCTGCAAGAACAGTGCATTTCTACAGTGAATGTGGAAGGTGAGAAGAGATCTCCGTAACACTAGTTTTGAGCTCTCATTTGCAGTGATAGACTTGCCGTTGCATTCTGATTTTTATACTAAAGTCATTAAGACTGAACAATAAGTCTTGTGACTATCCCACTGACACAGAGGTGACAGGTTTTTTTGAGCATGTGACTGGATTATTTCTGCCCACTTCTGTCACCAACATAAGTACACAGTTTTCTTTAAATGGAAATTCTAACCTGTATTTTGCCCCCAGGTTTTACCTGTGCTCTACAGAAAGAAATAATATATCAAGGGAAGCTCTTTGTGTCAGAAAACTGGATCTGTTTTTATTCCAAGGTCTTTGGGAAAGATATTAAGGTTGGTATATTTTTCTTTTAAAAAGCTAATAATGTTTACTTTATTGCATATAGTGAATATTAAGTGTAATGGTATTTGTAAATACTTGTCTCTTTATCATCTCTTTACACTAAGTTCCCTTTATTGTAGTTGCAAAAGTTACAGGTTCTAGTGGCTCAGGGTAAGACTAACTTCTCTTTTAGCCTTAACACTGCTGAGTCATTCACTTTCTAATAAAACACTCTCTTACAACCACCCTCCAAATGCATCCTTTTTACCTACATGTCCCAAAATGTTCTAAGACGTTTAATATGGAGGATACACCCTAATTTTTTACTAAAGTATATGTTAGGCCCAAAATATTTCTTCAAGACATATCCATTTTAGTACTGTATTTATACCAGTTACCATTAGATACGTTTAGGAAAGCAGGCCTCTGAATAAGCTACTTCTGAGAGCTCGCTTTGTACCGTCAATACCAGCACTAAATGAGCAGGAGCTGGCACGTTTCCAGTCTGCCCTTGGCGAGTCTCATAGCACAATCCCCAGGGCGCACTGATTCAGGCCATTTTTCCAGGGCGCACTGATTCAGGCCATTTTTCCTGCTCGTGAAGAAGCGCAGATGGGGTGAGAAGGGGAGGGGAGGGGAGCAGAGGCCTTAGCTATGAAGGGCAATTGCCTGAAGGAATTGGCAGGTTCTTGGGACTGTGACATAGGAAGTGGAGTTAACTCCATCTCATTGGAAGTTTCTTCTTTGGAGCCATGATATCATGGCATAGTTCAAGCCTCCGGCCTGTGGAGTCTGAGAAACACCTTCCTGGGTTTGTGTGACCTCACTAGGTTTCTAGTCACCTCACCTGAGTCTGTGATTCTAAAAGCAACTTTTCTACTCAAGAAGCAGCTCATTAAAAAGTATTTTGTTTTGTAAAAACCACATAGGAAATACCATGGAAGTTAGTTTGTAAGGCATTAGGTCACTGGACTAGCATACTGTTTAGTCTCTGTCAAATGTGTTTTTTTTATAATAATCCTTCATTGTGTGTTTAGATTAACATTTTGAGTCACAGCATTATCTGAATCAGTATAATGCAAGGCAATATTTATATTGCACCATAGTTCTAGATTTCTGGATTATAGGAACCTGTTCATGGAGTGGGGGTGGGAGTACTGATTTCCAGTTCACTGTGATAAAGGTAATTCTGAGAAATTCAGAGTGGCAGGGGTTGAAGACATTAGTAGAGAAAGAATTAGGCTTTGTCAGAGATAGAAAAATTTGCAAAGCCACTAGAGTTTCAAGCTAATAGATTTTAGCAATGGGTTCAAAATCCTGCTTCTACTACCTAAGAAAGGAGTGACCCCAGTTTTGTAAAGCCATGGATATCCTGGGATTTCTCTGGATGTGCTTGTAGAAGCTAAGAGAAAACAGGTTAAAAATTAACTGAGTCTAAGAAGACAAGAGCTCTCAGAAGGGGAATTTTCTAAGCAACCATCAAATTGTAGCCTTGATTTAATCAGGACCTAGTCTGTCCGTATTTCCAAATGTGAGTAGATTTCAGTGTATCACATTCCATGTAGGCTCAAACTGGAAAGTGACGTAAGCTTTTTTTTTTCCCAAATGCTGTCTAACTGCTATTTCATGGTAAGGAAGCAATTGAAAACTTAAGGGTACTCCATGCTTTAGATTCCAAAATAACCCAAATTTTTTTATAGTCCTGGGTTACTGACTTATATTTGCTGCTCAGCAGAAAAAATCAGATTTTAATGTCATCCTCCTCTAACTTGGTAGATCGTGAATTCTTTTTGCCAAAGGTATCCTAACTTACAACTTCTGAGCTAGGAGCTCACTTCAGCATTTTTGTGGATCAGCTTCTTTGGCTAAATAGTTTTCGTAAAATGTCTAATTTGGATTAACCTCTTCCGTTTCCAGTGCTTTCCTTCCTGGAATCCTAAGGGTAACAGAATTCCAGCTCACAGGTCTAAATATTCAAAATTTAAAACTACTAACATGAGGTTTTATGAAGCACTTTCACAAAAGATATTCAAGTGAGTGTCAGGTTTTAGCTAAAATGCTCATAACAGTTATGTTTAATAATTTTGACAATAGTAGGACCTTTTTTTTTTCCTAGCAGGGGTGTTTTAGCCTCTGTTTTCAGGGATCAAAGTAATGTGCTCCCTTTTTGTGGAGGCCAAACCTGGCTGGTGGGACATAACAAACATCAGAATATCCCACTAATCACTGTGGCCTCTGCCACATTCTTTTAGTACACTGAAAAAGAACCCAGGTTTGTGGTCAGATTGGTATAAATTCCATCTTTGTAACCTATTTTATTTCTGAACCTGAAACAAGTCACATACCTTTTTAAAGGCCCAATTCTCATAGAATAGCGATCAGATTATCAATTACATGACATTCTTATCTGGTAACCAGGTATTAATAAGGGTAGCTTTTACAATTCGGATCATTTTTTTCTTTTATGTCATACATCCTTCAAGTAAACAAAGCAGAAAATGACATTTTTCTTGGATGGTGGGCATGTCTCATTAATCCATGGCCAGTTATGAAAGGTAGTTAAGAATCTTTTTATTTACCATTTTACAAATCAAGACAGTGGCCTAGAAAAGAGCTTGGGAGGCTGAGTGGGGCAGGAGTGACTTAAGAAGGACCCGGGTTTGTGTCCAGTGCAGGCAACGCTGCTCTCAGCGTTCCCCACCACGCGCTCAGGGGAGCTGAGTGAACAGCCACAATCACGGGCCTTCTTTAAAACAGGGTCATGTTCACTCTGTACTCACAGCTGAAGATCAAGGGTTTCAGACCAAGTCTTTCCATAAAATAATGCTCTAGATATGTCCTCAGGCCTTGCAACCTCCATGTGAAGAGTTCACCTACACGCCCATGGAGGCAGAGCTCGCTGGTGTAGATTCTGTACGGTTTTCATTTTCCCTTGAACATGAATGCTTGGAGTGTTGTTCTGTGAAACTGAAGCAGCATTAACTCGTTCTATTTCAGATCTCTATTCCGGTGTTCTCAGTCACCCTAATAAAGAAAACCAAAACAGCCCTGTTGGTGCCAAATGCCCTGATTATAACAACAGTCTCAGAGAGGGTGAGTATCCTGCAAAGCGAGAAGGCCTTTGCTTTGTCTAGCTCGGGGCTCTGTGACCTCAGGCGCCTCTTGCTAAGGACCAAGATCCTTAAGCATAAATGTTTTTTTCTACGGTGATTCAAGAGAAAGATGATTTTCTTACATCTTAGCCTTTAAATATTTGGGTTCTTCTATGTCACAAGGTGATTTAGTCTCATGCAATTGTTGCCAATTTTGAATTTCCTCATGATATTTGCTTAAGCAAGATCAAGAAATTAAAATTATTTCCCAATTTCCCTTTCCCTAACATCTGTTAGGTCAGGCCAAACAAATATAATCATTGTCTTTAATATTACTTAAAATTACCACTACTGGGGAATCCCAGGGTAGAGGTCTAGCTTCCCATGACCTCATTCATTACCTCCAAAAACATAACACTTCCAGGTTGCCTCAGTTCCCTCTCTCAAATACAGAAATTCATGACCTGTTAACTGTTCAGCTATCCCAGAAATATTTGCGGGATTGCTTGGTAACTTGTTTTCCGCTTCAACTTAAGACAAATAAAAGCCGATACTGATGATCTAGGAAACTATTTTGACAATTTTTTAATACTAATGGCAAACAAGTAACCACTTCTTTCCAGGCACATGCTAAATATTTTCTTTGTTTACACATACAATTCTACTCTGAGAAGTATTTTTAATTAATGTATACAAGAACTGGGGTGTAGGCCAGAGGTACAGGGCACAGCACATGACACAGGAGAGGTCTGCTGCTGCCTGGCTGGGGATCATACTCATGCTGCAGTGGCCCTGAGGAGTAAGTATTGGCAAGGATACTAAAGCTAAGAGGGGCCCTCCCTGGTGGCACAAGGGGTTAAGTCTCAGCACTATGAAGCTAACAGCAGCCACTGCAGCATCAGTTTAATCCCCAGCCAGAGAGGTGACCCACATGGCACAGCATGTCCTGCCTACAGCTCCCCTCAGCAGTGTATTTCAGTAGATCTGCCAGTTCTGCTCCCTACTCTGTGTCTGGTAAGTCCTCTCTCTCCCTGTACCTCTGGTCTGTACCCCAATTCTTGCATACATAAGTAAGTCTAGAAAGGGAAAATACTAAGAGGGGCTGAACAATTTGCCCAGTGTCGTCCCACTGCTTTGCACCTGGGCCAGAGCTCACAAAGTTACCTATTTTGGTATATAATGCTTCCTTGGAAGTTATATCAAGGTAAAGCATTAGTGAATGAGAAGGATGTTACAAACCTGTGGCAAGTGAAGAGACTTTGTGGCTTAAATATATGGAGAAAAAGTGAGTTTTTATATTAACATAGTACTCACAGGGAAAATCCTTTTTCCACATGTGATCTATCTCCAGGTTATTTGTCTAGCTCTGGTCTTATTTTCCCATAACTCTTAAGTGCCCACTGGAAAATTTCCCTATTTATGCAATGAAGTATCTAGAAGTAGCTTGAAAAAGAAATAGTCTCTGGGAAGTTTTCAATAGAAGTCAAGTTCAGAGCACGGACAGTAGACCCTTGGGAACTGTTAAATACATTTGGAAAAAGAAAGACTTTAAAAAGGACCTAAAGACTTAGAAGACATCCTTAACGTTGGTTTACAACAAATACTCTTATGTGTCTTAGGGGTATAAAATCGTGTGCTAGCTGCTTTTTTTTATGCCCATGTAGCCTGTGCATGTTTGGGACCCCAAGGCCAGGATATTAGAATCATGTTGCTCTGCTTCCTTATTACTGAAAAGTGGGAAAGTATTTTAATCCGTAAAGAAAAACTGAGTAGGTGAGCAAAATGAGAGTGACCAGTGACTGGTCTACATTGTTTGAAAATAATAATAAGATAAATTTTTGAACTCCAAACTCACTTGTCAAGAGGTGTCTGTTAATAATTATTCCATCTTCTTTTTCAGTACATATTTGTGTCCTTACTCTCCAGAGATTCAACTTACAAACTAATAAAATCTGTGTGCGGACACTTAGACGTGAGTAAGAGAGTGTGACATCCCTAGTCTCAGTTGCTGTCGCTCTTCTATTGCTTACAGTTTCCTACTCAATCTTGACTTTTCATTTTGTTGTGATAATTTCAGGACACAAGTGTGGCCAATAGTCCCAACCCATCTTCCCTTGAGAACAGTTTCCGGGCAGACCGCCCTTCATCTCTGCCTCTGGTGAGTTGTCTACATAACTAAGGAATGACACTTTACTCACCATGACCAGGGAGAGGGTGAAACTTGGGGCCAGAATGTTTCAGGCGAAGATAGGGCGTTTCTGACTGAAGAAGTTGATCATTGGAGGCCATAAACTTTTTTCAAGTAACTGAAGATTTGTCCTGTGAAAGAAAAATGTGATAGTGAACCAACTTGGTGAGCTTCTGAGGGAATTCTTGAAGTCTGTTGTTTGCTTGGAAATGTTGGCTTAGAGGGGTTCACAAATCTACCTAAGGTGGAGTCTCATCCCCAAATGGACTACCTTCTACATCAAGACACTGTGCTAGTGAATACTGTAGGAACATCAAGTAAAGTCAAAAGTCATTCTTACCTTCACAGATTAACCCCACAACTGTCCACACAAAAGGTTGACATTTTTTAAACGCCTTTATACTTTGTTGAGTATAAATCTTCAGGACCAATAATGGTGGCCTAAGAGAGTTTTAACGATATTCACCAAATGACTGTTCCAAATTGGTTATTTGTGAAATGTTGAAACACTTCTGGTGAGGCAGTACGACACACGGTTTCAACATCTACATCTCTCTTTGGAGAGCTGTGGTCTCTATTCTGTCTCTTAGTCTCTCCCTCCATATGTCTCTGTCATCCCTGTCAGTCTCCTGGTCTCTGTGTCTGTCTCGGTCTCCTTTCAGTAAAATGCCAACCTCCAAATTCAGCTGCAAATACTAAATATGAACGTATCTGAAGAGCTTTGCTTACTCACCCTGGTAGATGTATGTAGTCTGTCCATTATGAAATTAAAAAAACCCCAAATGCTAGTGAGGTAGAAGTTTGTTAATTTAGTAACAAGAGGAATCTCTTCATTTGACAGCAAAATTGTGAAAAAGCTCAGCCTAAAAGGAGCTTTGCCAGGACATTTTACTGGTACTTCTGTTTCTTAAGGCCTACAGTTGTTTGGGAGAACAGGTGGAATATTGGGAAAATTCCTACTTTTCACCTCACTCTGTCCTCTGGCAGCTTTCTGCAATCCAAGTGTAGTATCACTCACCAACCGACCCTGTTTTGATTCAATGGAGGGGAGAAAAAAGCTAAAAGGTCACTTTCATTTAATTGAAGAATGTCTTTCTGTCTGCATGTTCCAACAGGCATTTAGAGTTTCCTGTCTGCTCTTTTCTCCTATGTGTGTCTATGCCAGTCACTCTCTCAGGACAAAAAGCTACGATTTTTCTGATGTTAGCTTGGAAATTGTTCAATCATCAGCATTCCAGTTTTTTTTTTTCCTAGACATGCATTGTTTCCAACAAGGTGGCCATTGTGGTGACAGAATTCTAAGTCCCCAGAGAAATGTTGCACTAACCTGTAGTACAGGATAACCCTCCTCTTCGCAGTTTCTAAGGCAGGCCTAAGTGAAAGGATTGCAGTTAGAAAGCCCTGCTTGTTTTAATAGAAGACAATGAGCCTCTTCATTTCATCATTTCCCTTTAGGATTTCAATGATGAATTCTCAGATCTAGACGGAGTGGTTAAAAGAAGAAGGCAAGATATGGAAGGATACAGCAGTTCTGGTTCTCAGACTCCCGAATCCGAGAACTCTAGAGGTCTGAGAAATTTTTCCATCTTCTGTCTTCACAACATTTATTTCTTGTTAATGGAACATTCTTACCCCATCCCTTAAAAAACAAAACATCTTTTCTTCCTAATAAAGGAGGAAATCTAGAGAAGGCAGTTTGAAGTTCTAGGAAAATTAATTTCCTATGTGGTAAAAATCCATTTCCCTTTATAAACATTTAATAAATGTCTCTTAAATAGACATTTACATTGTGGGGTGGTTGTAAAGGGGAAGCATATGGTATTTTTTTTTATTAAAAAGTTTATTTTTACATCATTTTGCACATTTTTTTTTCATCTCAATTGTAATCCCCACGGGTTTCCCATCACCAAATCACCCCTGTGCCACCACCATAGTCCCGTGCATTTCCCTCCCTCCCCCCCCCCCGTTTTTGGTCCCATTCCCCACTCCACCCCCACAGAATGTCTCTGGTCTATGGTTGTTCATTATTTTTGTTATTTTCTCACCTGGTCCATTATACTCCTGCTATGAGTGAAACCATCCGGTATTTTTCTTTCTCTTTCTGGCTTATCTCACTCAGCATGATCTTTTCCAGCTCCATCCAAGTTGCTGCAAAAGACATGTGTTTCTCTTTTTTGGTTGCTGAGTAATATTCCATTGTATATATTCATATGGTATTTTTTTACCTCATATTTCAGCAATACTATTGTCATAACCGAATCATCCCCATGAATCAGTGGGTTGTGACAGACTTTAAGAGATCGCAGTGGGAGAGAAAACCTTACCCAGCCTCATTTGACTTGACAGATTCCCATGTAACAGATTCCCAGACAGTTCTGAATGTCTCCAAGGGAGAAGCCAAGCCACCACGGACAGACTCCCATGTGAACAGGGTGGCTGAAGGTAAAAACAAGAGTCTCCCTGCACATGGTAAGGAAGATTATGTTTTATGGGTGTAGGGTTGGCAAGGGAACGTATGCTGATAACTTTCAAAGAACACTTATGTTTTGCATTAACTTATTTATCCATTCAGTCAGTGGGCAAAATTCAATTCTGTGCTTTACTACAAAGGAACAGAAGATTTGTAGAGGTCCCATCACTATTCTCAAAACACTTTCAGACTGCAATATAGAAACTGATAGTAAAACTCAAATTACTGAATCATTTCATCATTTCTTATTTACTAAGTATCCTAATTGCCACTCACATTGGTATGAAAGCAAACATTGTTCACATTTCACTGCAGGGCAATAGTTAACAGAACACGATCTCAATAAATGTTGAATCAAATGTGTTGGAAGGAATTATGGCCCCTGGCTTCAAATGACACCTCTGAAGCTTCGGTTAACATTTTCTGATTTCTACTATCTAAGAATAATTATCTCAAATACCTCCTTTCCTATTACTGGATGCAGGAAGTGTGTTATAATTATTTTCTGCAAATTAAGTCAGGAAAATTCACTTTGAAGATAAATTTCACTTAAATGTGGGATATGTAGAAGCCAAATTAAAGAGTCAGGAAAGAGAAAACTTGCAAGCTGACCATACCTGAGGCATACAGTGGGGGAAGAGAGGAGACAGAGGCGTCAAAACAGAGGGAAGAGCACTGGACTGTGGTGAAGGTCACAGACGCTATGATAGTGGTAACATGGGCTGCGTGTATAGTCAGAAATCAAATATAGTACAAAAATGAATGACGATAGAAACAAAATTTAATAAGTGTTGCTTTTTGTTTTGTATTCAACAGGTCAATTAGAAACCAGTGAAATCTTACACAAAGTCAAGTCTCAGAAATGTCCAACTCTGCAACATATTCTCATTTTCTATGCAGTTGTGTAAGTTCAAGGAAATGTTTGAATTCTCTAAAGGTGTAATCAATTCTATTCCCATTTCCAGGAGCCATTATCAACCCTGTTGTCTTTAAT